CTGCATAACGCAAACAGCAAAGGCACTACCCCACGCAAGAGTGCTCAACTGCTACAAGAGCAGGAGCGAAATACTCAATCTGCGGACAGCATGCTGTTTCGTTCTTTTTGAACTCATCAGCGCAGCACAGAGAAAATGAGGCCGAACCTGATAGCAATGGAAATAAAAATTTCCAATCAGGCCCGAACGTACCTTGCCAGAGTGCTCAAACTGACAAGTCAGTGAGCTCTGCATAACGCAAACAGCAAAGGCACTACCCCACGCAAGAGTGCTCAACTGCTACAAGAGCAGGAGCGAAATACTCAATCTGCGGTAATAATAATAATAATTTTTTAAAAGAGGTCTGAGGCGGATAATACTTTAAAACGAAGGTAAGTTATGGGTCGCAAATATCCACGCAAACACACATCCAGTCATAATAAGGCACTTGTCATAAGTATCCGAACGTTTTCGGTCCCTTCTCATCAAGGATTATACAGGGAATGGCTCAAGCTGGAAAGACTAAAACTTATATAGCGTAAAGATAATTAGATTACAACACTCGTGACAAGGTGGAAAATTATCAAGTTTAGCACGACACAAAACTCGAAGGAAAATAATAATAGTGACAACAACATAGTGAGCAAATTAAATTACATTGTTACCACCTCGACGAGGAGTAACACCAAACAATTGTAGCGACAACACATTTTCTTTCTGTACGCAAAGTTCAGGATCTAACTTACGGATATGCAAAGCTTCTAACACAGCCAAATGTAACGCACATCTACCACGTGACAATATTGAGAAAACATTATCACTGTACAACTCACGACAATTGGTACGGGCTGACAGATGTTGCTTGATTGACGAAGTGCGATTCTTAGCTCCATTGGGTGTTGTCTCCTCCAATGTCCCGTCATCTCGCCTCTTCGTGGCATCACCACTATCTGTCTCTTCGCGTTTCCGCGGCCTTCCACGTTTCTTGACACTAACCGTTGGGTGCGCGATACCCGGTGTCCTTTCCGTTACGTCTCCTCCATTGCGGATTTCTATTGAGCTTCTTACTCCAACTTGTCCGGTGTCCGATATTGAGGTTATTTTTCGCGGTCTACCACGTTTTCGAATATTGACTGTTGTTGTCACTTCCGTTGTCGTTGTACGTTCGTCCTCATCAGTCCGTATTTTCACTTGGCTTCTCGTCACCCTTTCCGACGCCGACAGATACTTTGTCAGTTTCGGTGGTTTACGTGTGGGTCTTTCACCATCTTTTATGCTGTTCTCAGCTGGCCCCTGTCCTACACACGCAGAGGAGGACGGGCATGCAGTCACATCTTCACGGGAAGAAGAAGATCCACCGATGGACTGGACAGCACATTTTGGAGGACGACCACGGCGAGGACGACAATCGCGCGCATCAAGCGGAACACAACTTAACGGCACATGTTGACGAATGCGTGCGCCCAGGTGCTGAAGGGTTCTACCTACATACCGATCTTCACATTGTCGGCATTGAAAGAAATAGATAAGGTTACTTTTACTAAGGGTAGGTAGAACATCCTTCTTCACACTGAACGCACGCACTGTCCCAAATATGACGTACAGCTTGACTAAACTTGATAATTTTCCACCTTGTCACGAGTGTTGTTATCTAATTATCTTTACGCTATATAAGTTTTAGTCTTTCCAGCTTGAGCCATTCCCTGTATAATCCTTGATGAGAAGGGACCGAAAACGTTCGGATACTTATGACAAGTGCCTTATTATGACTGGATGTGTGTTTGCGTGTATACTTGCGACCCATAACTTACCTTCGTTTTAAAAAAAATAATAATAATAATAATAATAATAATAAGGAGAATCGTGTTTTCGTCACGAATGAGCGTCAGTTCTACCGCAATATGACCAAGTCTACGGAAATGCCTGGGCAGCCACCTGTCGACCAGGCTGCTGCGCATCCATCGGCTGAGGCTGTTACTGAGTTCTGGTCATCTATACTGGAACAACCCGTGGAGCTGCGTGGCGGTGCTTGGCTTGATAATTTGGAGAGGGACTGTGAGGAGATTCAACAACAAGACCGTGTCATTCTTCAACTGGAGGACCTCAGGGACATCTTGAAGAAATCAAACAACTGGAAAGCCCCAGGACGGGACAAGATCCATGCATTTTGGTGGAAGAAGTTTTCGTCTATCCACGAGCGGCTTGTGGTCGCCTTTCAATCAATCCTGGATGCAGAGACAGAGTCGCCGGCCTGGTTCTCGTTTGGTATCACCACTCTACTGCCTAAGAAAGGAGACCTTTCTAGGCCCGAGAATTATCGCCCAATAACATGCCTGCCAACGATTAGCAAGATATTCACATCCTTACTCGCTGCTGCCATGTAGCGCCATTTATCTTCAGCGGATATCTTTGCAGATGAGCAAGTTGGCTGTACTCCAGGGCGTGGTGGATGCCTTGACCAACTAATGATCGACAAGATGGTTCTAGAGGATGCAGCATCCCGTTGTCGGAATCTTTCGACGTGCTGGGTGGACTTCCGCAAAGCCTTCGATAGCCTGTCTCACCAGTGGATCCGGAGATGCCTGTTGATCTACCGCTTTGCAGACAATCTTGTCTCATGCATCTCAAGCATGATGGATCATTGGAGAACGCAAATGGTACTGCCTGGTCAAACACCCCGTGCATTCAGTCGCCCAATATCTATCCACCGTGGCATTTTCCAGGGCGATTCCCTTTCTCCACTGCTATTTTGCCTGTCTCTAAATCCGATCAGTGGCGAGTTGACCAGGACGGGTCTTGGCTACCGCTGTGGCCCACTGGCCCAGGTGTGCCCTGTATCGCACCTGTGGTACATAGACGACATGAAGCTCTTCGCCCGAAACGACAATAATCTGCTCTCCATGACCAATGTTGTGGAGTCAATGGGCGACTGCATTGGTATGCATTTCAACCCGTCAAAGTCTAGCTGGCTCACTTTGAAACGGGGGAGAGCCCAGAGCGATCAGCAGTCTGCTCTCCAGACACTCCAGGGTCACGCTATTGCTAAGCTGCAGGCGGAGGAGTCCTACAGGTACCTTGGTGTCCCGGAATCAGCACATTTTCACGCCACCGAATTGAAGACCACAGCAAAGTCTGAGTTCGGCCGCCGCCTTCAATTGATATGCTCGTCTCAATTGAACGCCAGGAACTTGGTCAAAGCCATCAACACCTTTGCCATTCCAGTCATCCTCTACTCCCTGTGCATCGTTGAGTGGACAAAGGCAGAGATAGAGGAACTCGACCGACAGACCCGCCAAGCACTGTTTAAAGAACACGCCCGCCACCCCAAGGACTCTGCCGCCAGGGTCCACCTGCCTCGTGATATGGGTGGTCGAGGAATTCTATCATTCCGGGATCTCCTGGATAGAACCCGTGCCCGGGTGGCGCGGTACCTACAAGCCCACCCAAACGTGCCACTGTTGGCTGCTGTTAAGCGCCATCACGACAATGATGTGGCTCCGTCAAAATCAGTTACACGTCAAGCCTCCAGACTACTGGGTCAACTTGACCTACCCGACTTGGAGACTGCCACAAAAGTCATTGTCAAGAAGGCCGTTGCTCTCCGGTGCCTGGCCGTTATCCAAGGTAAGCCTCTCCATGGCCAGTTCTGGAGACGAGCTTCTGATGCTGGCTTGGACCTGGGCTTGAGTTTTCGCTGGCTGAAATCGCCAACGATCAGGCCTGCGACAGAGGGACTCTTGCTGGCTGTACAGGATCAGGCCATTGCGACCAGGCACTATCAGGTCACGGTCATTGGACGGGGAGACGTTGTGGACATTTGTCGAGTTTGCGGCACTCGCGGAGAAACAGTTGATCACATTGTGGCCTGTTGCCCAGCCCTAGCCAAAACACTGTATATCGAACGGCATGACACGCTCGTCAAGTTGGTGCATTGGGCACTATGCAAGCGGCATGGTCTGGGTCGGCCGGGAAGCAACCCGCTGAAGCATCATCTTGTGCCTGTCACGGAAAATCTTGACATGAAGCTCCTGTGGGAGTTCAATATCCCAACGGATACGCAAGTGCGCCACAACCGTCCAGACCTGGTGTTGCGGTCCAGCACACAGGTGCTGCTGATGGATGTCAGTGTTCCATTGGACCAGAATGTGCCCACAAAAATCCACGAAAAAATAACATCTGGCATGTGGATGATGTCCGCGTTGTGCCCCTGGTTGTTGGGGCGCTTGGTGGACTGACTGGTGTGTCCCTCTCACACTTTGTGTTGGCATTGGCAGGCACTCTGCGCATTGAAAGGGCTCAGCAATGTGCTATCCTTGGCACGCTGAACATCGTCAAGTCGGTTCTTGGCATTCGGCATTAGACTCCTCATGTTACGGGTAGAGCTAGTCCGTATAAACCTCCAATACTGCATTTGCTTTGACATCCATGAATGTGCAGTATGACGGTCCTCACAACCTGATTTTTCTCTTGCCATTTGAGTATGTCCGGCATTCATCTCTTCCTCTATTTCTACAGGTCTATTCCTGTACTGGTAGTCCATTTTTGTGATTACTCTTTTTGTATTCGAATATGTCCTGTCCTCCTCCATCTTTTTGTATTCGAATATGTCCTGGCCTCCTCCATCGTTCTGCTTATTTCTGTCCGTCTCTCAGTTTCTGCGTCGGCTTTCAATATTTTTGCTTTGGTTTTTACAATCCTTTTTGCTTCGGTCTCCATTGCGTTGGCCATTTATCTATTTTTTTCTCTCATTACCCTTGGTCTCTTTTGGCCCGGTGATGGGGTTCTTACCTCATGTCATGACAACGTGAGTGAATTAAAGCCAACTCCATAATAATAATATACCGGTTTACGGACATGAACAGAGGCAATTGAAGCTGCACACTTTGAGGGGCGGTTGTTGGCCTTACTAAGATGTGTGTATGCGTGTGTATGTGTATGTGTGTATGCGTGTGTGTGTGTATGCATATATGTGTGATTATGTCTGTGTGTGTTTGCGCCTTTGTGTGTCTGCATTTGTCTAGGAAACCGTTCCATTCTAGCCGTTTTCCTCCTCATCCTCTTTGCGGCATGCCTGATAGGCGGAGCGGTCCTGATTGCTGAGGGAGTCAACGCTGGACCATATTATCGCGGGTTCCTAATTGCGTGTGGAGGTGTCTGCTTGCTCATTTGTATACCTTTTGGCCTCGCAGGCTGTGTGCTTGGGTGTCAGGTCCGAATTGAGAGTCAAAATTTCAACAGAGCTCTGAGGCAATGTGCCCATGAAAGCGCAAGCATAGCCCAGCCAGGTAGAATAGGAACTGCTGCAGCTGCTGCTCCCGGCGCCGCCGTCATCCCGAACGCAATCATCCTACCCACTAACAATCCAGTTGGACCGGTAATGGCAATGCCAGTCACACATCCTGCTTAACAATTACATTATATTGTGGCAAACGACTACTGATCCCGAACACAACCAGCAATAGCAACATGAGCAGCGACAGGCGTAGCAGCAGCAGCAACAGGAGCAGCAGCAGGAGCAGCAACAACAGCCTCAGGATGAGCAAACCACCGCATCCGTCCCCTCTGCGCCGCCGTTACTGGAATCTGCCAGGAACGATGCTCCTCCAAGCTATTCACAAGCATTTTCCACTGAAGTCTTAGTGACTAACACAAAAGAACTGTTCACGCCTTGTTTGTACTACGGAACAGGTACATGTAATAATAATAATAATAATAATAATGGTATACAAGTAAGAACTAAGCGTGACAAGTGTGTATCAGCAACAAAAAAACAAAAAAGTGAGAACGAATGATAATAATAACAATAATAAACAAGAAGTTTTCTGCACACTTTTGTGAGAAATAATAATAATAATAACTTTATTAGGAAAACCCAAAGGCTGAACGCCTATCGTGGGGTCCGTCGCATTCAAGGATGTGTAATGTGTTGCCCGAACCATGATTAACGTGAAACTAGGAGGTACACCACCATGCAATGTACAATGTACATGCAAGTCTAGGATCTTCTCTCACTTCTGTCTGCTTTATAATAGTCTCAGGGGCGGATCCAGGAGGGGTTCCAGGGGTTCCGCGGAACCCCCTAAATTTCGTATTTGTACTACTGGCCACCATACTCGCGTCCATGTACATGTAGATGTACATGTATCCGACTGAGCTACTTACTAGCATTCAGTTTTGAGTCTTTTGACTATACTGGAAACCCCCTCTAGAGATCGCTGGATCCGCCGCTGAGTCTTATCCTTCTACAGCAGATATCTCTTTATTGGATTGCAATAGAATCGTCTTAGCTTTTTGGCAATCCGTTACATTAAATTTTGAAATCTACACGTGTATCATATACACTGTAGGGTTGGGGTTCGAAGCTTCCCAGATGTTTCCTAAAATGCATTATGACACCTCGCTTTCAAGAAACACTGGGAAGTTCACTTATCTTGGACTTCTCCGGGGCCAATTGTTTCGTATAACGTGCGTCAATCCAAATCTTTTTTTATTAAGTTGCGTTTCCCAACCCTTTCCGCAATGTGTAGAACCCCAGTGCTAAAGCAGTTCCCCATACCCATTCCATGCAATGAGGCGGAGAACTCAGTGATGACGAGTTGTGGCACACAATATTTAACAATTACATTTCCAAGCCAGCGACCGTCCCAGTCGCAAAGCCCAGGCAACTATTTCCCATACATACGGAGGTGGCACCGATCAGAAATCATCACCACGAGCAACAGCAAGAGGCGCAGCAGCAGCAGCAGCAGCAGCAGCAACAACAGTCTCAGGAGCAGCGGGATGTGCAAGCCACCTCTTTGGCCCCCTCCGCGCCGCCGTTAGAGTCAGCCAACAACGATATTCCTCCGCGCTATTCCCATTTATTTGTGGCTAGTCCACGTCTTAGTAATTGACACAAAGGCTAATCACAGTGGTATACTTTTTGTAGCATTGTACAGCATTTGTATAAACATTAAGTTGTGTCTATGCCACCACTCCGACAAGGCGCCCAACCGCAAAACCACCAGCAAGAGCAGTGGAATCAGTCATGCTACCAGCAACAGCAGTGGAACCAGTCACGGTACCAGCAACAGCAGTGGCAGCAGCTACTGTAGTCTGCAGTGGCAGCAGCAGAGGCCGCAGCAGCAGCAATAGTGGCAGTAATAGCTGTCTCTGCCGCATCAGCACCAACCTCAACATTAGGAGCAATAGCAGCAGCACCAGCAGCAACAGCAACATACAAACACTTAATTGACAGTAGCCGGAGTAAGCAGCTGCCCTATTCCGCTTTGCATCACTGGATCATCCCAGCAGCTATTTTTCAATATTGACAAAAGAATCATGATACCTACGTAACTTGACATACTCTCGTTCTTACGAAACAAACTAATATGAATTGTGGCAAGGGATTATTCCAGCATTAAGGCCAGATCAAGTGCATGGGCTGAACCTAAGCAAAGTTTGATAAGAAAAAGTGGCCACGGCACGTGTACTTCGAATCGGCAGAAAATCACATTCATTGTCAAAAAATTCTCGAGGGGGCATTGCACCTTTCAACAGCTTTCTGAATGCTGGTACACGTGTTGCAGAAAGCTTGCACAAGTACACACTGAAATACATGTAGGTTGTGATTGGAATGCCTAGGAAATTGAATACAGTGAAAGCTGTGACTAACGACCCCCCCCCCCCCCCCTTGGGGCCAGAGAAAGCGGTCTTTAGTGGCAGGTGGTCTTTAGTTAGAGGTTTGCACCGCACAACCATAATATATGATTGTGAGACAGTCTGTGCCTGGCGAAGTGGTCTTTAGTACCAGGCTGGTCGTTAGTCACGGTGGTCTCGAGTTTCAGGTTTTACTGGATGGTCCACCTTGTGAATAGTGTCTTTTCAAAAGCATAAGAAATGTGTTGTGATTTGCTAGGTGGAGTGATGTGTGAGGCTGAAAGTAGACAGTTGAATGGTGACTAGGTCGGAAAACAGTTTGAGTTGCCGCAATACCACCCCGAGGTGGACAGGAGCAGGCTCGCTAGCGCTAGCGTACGAACAAACACGACATCATGGCATAATACGTCGGTGCGCATCTGATGAATAGCTTCCCGGGGTACGCCTCGCCCTTCTGCTCAAACACGTGCAGTGCGCCTTCCAGAATTAGACAGCCGCAAATCCCGCACGACAGAGCCGTGCGCTCCAGTTCGATGCAGCGCGACTCCAGGGACTTCCCCCTCGCGCTGTCCAGCGCCCACTCCTCGAAGCGCCGGTCAAACTCACGGGCGTCCGTCGTACAGTACTTGAAATTGGAATGGGGGTCGGGCAGGTAGAGCGGATCGGTGACCGACGGTTGGTGGGTGTGAGCCAGGTCACCTGAATATGTTGCAAAGCAGAAAAGTAAAACAGACATAAATACCTTCACCTACACTGTGTTCTAACTAGGGATGAGAAGGGTATCGAATGCTTAGTACTCCAGCACTCGCTCGAAAATATGAAAAGAGCGAGTACTTGTTTGGCAATCCGACTGCGTAAGTCAAGCACGAGCGTTGGATACTGTACAGCCCTAGTCCTACCCACACTGAGATGTTGACTGGCGCCTGCAGCAACATTGGCTCACTCGATCGTATTTCATTGATCTAGAACTTAGTATCGCTTGCAAAGCACTCTACCGACATTGCCAGGTGGACATTGCGTAATGATCAAACTCTCCTCGTAACGAGTTCCGGTACATACCCACCCCCAACCCCCACCTCCTCCCCATCCCTGGAGTGTGGTCACTGGTTAGTGTGAGTGATATTGCTTGAAGGCATCCCAAGACACCATCTCCAGAGCGCATCACTTGCACGAGCATACACACACACATGGATACACGCGACGAAAAACCATGCCCCCCAAGAGACACACACGAATCCGCATGCATGCTTCCCCCCCCCTCCAAACACACATACAAACTCACCAACACACACTCACACGGACACGAACGAAGACACGCCAGCACGCATACCCCCCCCCCCCCCTTCCCTGCCCCCAACACACACACATGCACACACATGCACAAGCAATGTCAGCCATGTATACTCCCACACATCCACGCTCACACACCTACACACCTGCACACACACGCACCTGAAACACCAAGGAAGACTCGCTTTTCCTTCCAGATCGTCTCCGTACAGTAGTGAGCTATTCTGTCTCCAGCATGATAGTACTCATCCAGGCAGTTTGAGTCTATCGCCATGCGGCTCCTCTTACGTGACCAAGGAATGGACGCAATCACAATCTCTCCATTGAAACCGGCCTCCTGTGGACATAGGTTTAGGTGACAGAAAGAAGCAAACATCCACAATCGTTGCAATAACATACGTATCACACCTCATACATACATACATCTTTACTTATAAAGAAGAGGCACCTGTGACGTGTGTTTGTCTGTGTGTCACGCTCAGGCCATGCTGCGGAGCAACGCTGCCCTGAGCACGCGAAGTGTGCGAACATGTACAGTGTAGCTAGCGGCCGCAGAAGCACTGAGCATGCGAAGCGTGCGAATCGTGTAGCTAGCGGAAGCAGCCACAGTACAGAAGCACTGAGCACGCGAAGCGTGCGAATCGTGTAGCCACCACCACGTGCTGAGCACGTGTGCTGTTCATGTACTTGCTTCACCCGCGCCGCATGCCACGTTCGGCCAGGCAACGCTGGCCTGGGGTGCTGCTAGTACATACATACATACATGCTGTCTGATGATCGGTTAAAACCGTGAAACTCAGAGTTACAGAAGAAACGCTTTTCATCCCTCTCAAGTGTGTGCATACATACATACAAGTCATGTAGATTCACATCGACGTGTCTGACACGACAATGAAACGATGGTGTAACTTCACGCCTCATGCCTCTCGATATGATAATCTTTTCCCAAATTGCTCCACTCCCATCTGAAAATAAAGTGAATTGCTTAAATGTCACACACCAATGATACTTTACCCCTAAGGTTTGATACAGATCTACAGAGAGTTTTGCTTGACGGACGGGATCCCACATACGTCTAAGATAGAATCGCAGCATTTGAAAGGCTTCATAACCATATCAAGAGTAATGTCTCGATAAGGAAGTACACGAAAGACGATTGATTCAGGAACCAATGAAAGAGGCGTCACCACACACACACACTACCTGCAAACTCAAACTCACCGTACACCATGTACCACATACACACACATACAAACACTCACCATGTACCATGTGCCACATACATACACAAACACGCACATACGCAAAAACAAACACACACATGCATGCACACACACAAACACATGCACGTGCACGTACACACACGTATATCACACACATACACACACATGTGCACACAAACGCACACACACACACACACACACACACGCACAGATACACAACCCTGTTCTGTCCTGTACAACCACTGCCACAGTGATCGCGTGGGCAACAGGATTGGCATGAGAGAGGAAGATGCAACATGCAGACTGACAACGTCGGTGGTTGTCAACCTCTCCCTCTCTTCTCGGTAACAAATTTCATCGCATGACGTTCTCAATCCAGACTGGGGCTTGTCAAACCTCCGCGAGCGGCTATGACGGGAACTACCGAAAGTGACGCACCAAATCACTGTCCTTGCTCACAGCTGTGTGCGTCCCTCCGCCAAGCGTTTCCTCTGTACTTGGGAGACATCTCCCCCATCCATGTCACACACACACGCGCGCGCACGCGGACACACACACACACATACACACACCCAAACACGCGCACACACTGGTAGCAGACGTACCTTGAGAAACCAAAGCGGAATGACTTCAGCCCAAGCCAGAGGTGCGCGAAGGTCCGAGAATGCCATCAAGCCCTGGGCAGACACACCGTCACTTTGCCATGCCTCAAGCAATTCCGTACTTCTCGTACGACTTAGCTCCGTCTACAGAAAATAGAAAAAGGTATATAACAGCACACATATAGGAAAACACATGAAATTTTGCAACCGTTGTGGATGTGAGATCAGTTCAAGAATACCATGTGGTCATTGCCTAGGGTTCAGCTACATTAAAACCTGTAACTAAAGACCACTGTGACTAGCGACCAGCCTGGTACTACAGACCACTTCGCCAGGCACGGACGTGTCACATCGCTATAACGGTTGTACGGCGCAAACCTCTAACTAAGGACCACCTGCCACTAAAGACCGCTTTCTCTGGCCCCGAGCGGTGGTCGTTAGTCCCAGGTTTTACTGGATTAACAGTATTCACATCTAGTATGGCATGTATGAACTACATCACCTCACTTTCCGTCCTGCATGCACGCACCACCGAACACCCTGCCACAGAACCGTACGATCTGGTAACAGTGAGTTTACAAACCAATCATGGAAACAGAGCGTAATCCGTGCAAATCCACAAATCCAATTTTTTTCCGGGGTAACTGCCTCTTTTACGGCCAAGGTCAAGTCATGTACATGTGAATAAAAGAACAGATTCGCGGCAAACTAACTCATCTTCTGAGTCCCGGGTTTCGACACCACGTTGTTACGGAATCACAGCCATTCCGTTCCCCGGGACGCAGGACACAAAGGACAAGACTTGTTTGTTACATTATTCATATTGACAAGACGGAAATTCAAACTGCTCTGACAGAGACGAACAAGAAGACTGACACAAGGACTCTCGACTACAAAATCGCGCATGCTCATATCACACATGCACGCGACTAGACGAGACAGTTTGGGGAATGCCATCACACAGGAAAACTACACATCATTTCACAACAGCATAGTTAGACATTGAATGACATGCCACCTACCTCTAACACATCTCTCATAATTCGTGACCTATGTGTCCTTTCTCATTTTTCCATTTTACTGGTGGTTCAGCACCCAATTTCAATTCAGTATACTGGTGAAAAATTCGGAATATGCATAACACTCCACTGTACTGTACACGATTGAATAAATCTCACGGTTTGCGCCAAATATCGGTCACGACTGGATTTCTGCATCCGAAGGAGCGCTATCGTCCGCAATGAACAAAATCTAAACGTAATGTATTTGTCCTGATGATGGGCCAGGCCTGAGAATCTGGTGTATTATAAATTGATTTGAATCGCAGTAAAGAGACGGTTATTGGAGTCGAGCAGTGAAGTTTCAAGCATGTGTAAGTGGCTGCATTGGAGTTTGCTGACAATGCAAAAAAACTTATAAGATGTGGTTTAAAATATTCCCGTGATTATAATTATGGGTTTACCTTGACTTCAAACTCTTTCCATTGCTCGTTCCACTCAGCCGTGCCGTCTGCTTCACCGTTCAGGTAAACGCCAATGTCTTTGTTCAAGCTGAGGCCGTGCGGTGTGAGCAGGACAAGCACTTCCACATTCAGTGCGGCAATTTCTCTTGCCATCTCCATGGTCTTCTCGTGCAGTTCAACTGCGCCGTTCGGAAGCCCTGCAGAAGCACACATGTTATTAACATGAGAGGTTTCGTCACAAATTTGCTGAAGAAAACGCAACAAAAATGTTGATCACACTGATCAGAATAATATCGATAATATTCTGCGATCAAAACACAAGAAACAGTGAGAGGGAGAGAACAGTTTCCATTCCATGTTGGTCATTGTGTTTTCTAGAACTTTGTGCGTATGAACAGTAAAAGCACGGGGGGACTCGTCAACCGTAAGCACATAATTATTCTGAAAGTGACCCTCAGGACACTTGCCACATCTATGGCGTTGAGACTCGTAAATGTTCGAGGAGTGTCTAAGGCGTCGTTTCCTGAATGCGGATATTTATATCTCTGCTGTTTGTTTGTTTTTGGTTTCTTTTAGATGGGGACTTGTTCACTTCAGAATTGAGGTTGAATTTTGTTTGGTCAATCCGGAATGGGCATGGGATGCAGTCGGAACCCATCACGGAATCGGAATGAGCGTAGCAAACAAATGCGCGCGCATGCATTTATGAATCTGGCGAACGTTTTTGCGCAACTCTGGAAACAAGCGGCCAAATGTTTTGCTTTTGAGTATGAGATCAGATCTCCTGTTGTTTGGTGTGGCCTTGCAGATGGTTGTACTGCCAGTCCTGGTAACTCCTCATGATTTGATTCCGTACGTTTCTGCATGAGCCTACGCCAGTCCTGATGAAGGAGCGGCCAAACGCGGCGTTTGATCTACGTGCGCCCGTAGCTAGGGTTGCTGCGTGAGGCGTTGGGCCGCTACTTTTCATGATGACAATTCAACCTTGTATCCGTCACAGAGACGTCTCTAGCTCTACAGGGATTTGAAGTGCCTATTTGACAAAGACGGGGCACTGTTGTAAGAGGAAGTCGAATGGCAGGCTCAGTGCCCGTTTGTGTCACTATGTCCTATGGATCGTCGGGCTCGAAAAATAGTTCTGGCTTGCCTCCCTGCGATTCTACTGTCGAGGCCCTGCTCGACAATGAGGAGGAGAGGTGCCAGGGAATATTTCCAGTTCTCGTCCTGAGCGAAAAGAAATGCCTTCTGAGGCACCGAAGGGTCAAAATACCACGAACAAGTAACCATGCCAAGGTTACAGTACCTGCCCTTCTACGATTTCTGCCAGCATTTCCGTATATCGATAATCGCGTTTGCGGTTTTGTTGGCGGAGGTATGCAACAGCGACGAAGCACCCATGGCCCACTGGCAGTGGCCTCCGCGCATTTTCGCTCGGAATGAGAACTCATTCCACTTTTTTCTTTGGAATCGCCAGAATCGATTCTGCCCCGTTCATTCCGCGACCGGAATCGGAATTGCACCGCACGAACGCCGTCGAGATCATCAAACTTACGCACTGGAACCAAAACACGGCGGAATGGCTTTGGATTGGAGTCAGGATGACGACGAAAAAAACCCAACCTCAGTGAGTGGTGCTCACAAATCAGTTGAACATTAATTTTGTTGCTAGTGGCCAAACGTGTAGACTTGGTATATAAGAACCCATACCCTAGCTAGACGACCAGTGCGATAGTAATCAGGAACTCGGTACATGTACCAACTGGAAGTGAAAAGAATTGCGCATTTCCACGCACATGCATGTGTATGTTCGGAAAAGGGGGAATGGTTCAGACACGAAACACAATAAGTCACTTCACGCATGGTATGCGTAGGGTACCTGAATCAAGTGAACGTGCCGTATTTTCACCATTAAACGTACACGTCTCCAATACCAGCACGTCTCCAATTGTAGTACATGTTGAGTCGGGATCAAAAATATAAAAGGACACGTCTCAAATAATAGTACATGCCGTAATGATGTGATGGGCGTTACTCGGATACAGGTACTAGGGTCCACCTTACTTCGTTTTCTTACGCCTTTATCATCTTTGTGTCTTTGTACACTGATTCTTACCATGGTTGCATGTAGTTACAGATTGACGGTATCACTATCACTAGTTGTTTACCACCCAACACAGGTAATCAATCTTCCCAGAAACATTCAAAGTACACGTCTCCAATACTAGTACAGTCTCCAATACTAGTACAGTCTCCAATACTAGTACAGTCTCCTATAGTAGTACAGGTCTGACCACCTTTGAAAAAATAAAAGGACTGTACATTTATTGGGGAAAATACGGTAATAATACAAATTATTCTACTTAGCATTGTTATCTGGTATTCTTTGCAATTTGCTTTGATATTTCTTTCAAAATAGCTAATTTTCTGGAATAATTAATTATTTGGTCCAGATAAGCGCCACATCCGTCTTTACAGGCGGGCCACTCAATGGCTTCTGTTTCACAAATCTTGTCACTCGGGTCACCTGTTATTTTACGGTAGGAACTCAACGGCTGCGGAACAAGGCTAGTTCCTTACCAGGTTTCTCGGGATCCAATATCATCGCTCCATGTGGAATCAAAGCTCCACCGAGGAACACCATCGTCGCTGCACCGCTATAGCGTGGAGCAAAACCTTGGAAATTCTTACTACCCGCCCTGGCCTAGCTGGTTCTTGAGCTAAATAACTTGCGCGGTACATGTACATGTAGATCTACTGAAAAGGTAACTATTCTGTATGCTAGGTAGCTAGCATTAATTTACCAAAGAAATAGTCAGATCAAATGTATAGTTTTGAACAGTGGTGTCGACTGCGCTCAAGTCAAGGACCATGGAATGAGTACAGTACTGCGTACCTCGAGGTCGTTGAGTAACAGGTGCTGAGCATGAGATGGAACAGTCAACACTACCGGTGCACCGGGCACAGGTAAGTGCTCGGGAGTTTTTTTACGACCTCCTGGCCTGGCGCATGGCCCCTGACTGAGTGATCGATCGCAGTCCTTCACAACATTCAACACTGCATGCAGAGTGCAGGTTTGGGATAAGCACGCGCGCGACAACACATGAACAGGCATGACAGCATGTACATGTGCAGTGTTTTTTTTTGTTTTTTTGTTTTGTTATTATTTTTCTCCTTTTGAGTTTATTGAGTTTATTGATTGAGTTTATTTTAATTATTAAAAAAATGATTTAATAATAGTTTTTTTGGTTTGGGTTTGAAATTCTTTATTTTACACATGCATTTTTCTGATTTCTTCTCCAGTGTATGATTTATTGCATTTTATTAATTAGCCCGTAAAAGAGGCCTAGTATCTGATACTTGTAGTTGTACGGCCGGGTACGGGACGATTTCGCGTGGATAAAATCACGCTTTCCGAAACGGACGTTAGTTCATTCACCCACCCACAAGTTAGTTCACCCAACCTGGAATTTATTTTGTACGTGTACCCGCGTTCAGTGAGTGCGTTCGATTATGCACGCGAATCGATTCGCGCCATTCACATCACCCTATGTGAATAGCGTTATAATTTCCCATTTTTCTTGATTTTGTATTTAGCGCTTTCGGGTGTTATTATTGTTAGGGTAGAAATGCATACATTATAAATGACATGTACAGTGGTGGCCAAAAGTTTTGACCCACCCCATGGAATCGTCAGTACAGCTCAGCCTGGCTCCTAAACACGTCGTTTTTGACTTCTTTGAGGCCAAAGCCGATTGAAACTTGGCAAGGACACTAAAATTTGCAAGAATCCGTTGTCAACTGAGATTTGTGATGGATCACCATACATTTGGGTGGGTCAAAACTTATGGCCACGTGACCAAATTTTGCTGTACAGTACCGTACGGTTTCAAAAAAGTTGTCAGGCTGATGCACGTGCTGGGAAAGTTGAAAATCAACACTTGACTTCTCACTTTGAGAGTTTGCGATATCAAACTTGACAATTTTGACGACGGAGATGGTATTTTCAGCCAGGATAGTGAACCGAGGTCAGATTAGCAAGGATGTGAGGGAAATGGTCGTGAAGGTGAGTGTTGACGGTCTCTTTTGGCGTGGTATCGCTCCTCTGTTGGATTTGAGTGATCCTACGATACGTAGAATTGTCAGGAAACAAAAATTGACTACATTTCACCACGATCAGACCGACCAAGAGAGACCAGTGCAAGACAAGATCGCCACCATATCATGAAATCAATGGCGAATCGCCTCAAATCCGTCACTGCCTGCGAGCTGAGATGGTGAGCGACGGTGAGAACGCGATTTCTGTGCGTTCTGTGAGACGCAGGTTGCAGAGAGCAGGCCTACGTGGCTGTATGGCCATCAAATGGCCCTTCATCAGTGCTGTGAATAAGGCAAAACGCCTTAAATTTGTATAGACGCACAAGGACTGGAGCAGTGATGACTGGTGGTAATTTCTGTGGACTGATGAGTCTAAAATCAACCTCAGGGGCTCTGGTGATGCAGTTTACGTCAGGAGGTGGACAGGATAGGCTCTGGCTGGCACATGCACCCGCAAAACTGTGAAGCGCCGCGACGGCAATATCAATGTATGGGACCCATGGCCAGCAACGGCGTGGCGCGCATTTGCCGGGTGATGGATACGATGAATGCGGACCAGTACCTCGCATCCTCTGAAAACATGATGTTGCTGAGCATGATGCAGCTTGTGGGTGGTGTGGGTGGTGTCTTATGGCCGCAAACGCTCCGCAAACAGAACGGAGGCGCGGCAGACGGTGAACGGCATCACCGTCCTGACATGGCCCCTGCAGCCACCTGACCTCAATCCAACTGAGAATCTCTGCAAAATTGCTGGGCTGAAGCAGCACGATGTCGAAATAACCCCCAGAAACCAGTATGAGCTGTGGCGAGTGTGCCAGGAGGTATAGAAGTTGATTTCTCCTCACGAGCGCAAGAAGATCGTCGAGTCAATGCGGCAGCGTATGCAAGCGATCATCAAGGCCAAGGGATGGGTTACAAAGTGGTGGATGTATCTGGAATAGGCCGGGACTGACTTCTAGACTTTAGCTTAGTTGAATACTTTTTAGAAATCACACTATTCCGTGTATCCTATGGGCGGTTTATGATAGTGCGGGCGTTGGCCATAAGTTTTGACCCACCTTTTACATATACTTGACCACAGTAGTCCCCAGATGACTCTGTGTTTCAGCATTTTTCATTTCTACTTCACTATAGGGCTTGAAAGTGATGACGTCAAAAACGGCCAGGGAGTAGTAAGTTGACATCAGATTTCTATTTTGGATCCACTAAGGTGTGACTTTGCTATTGCCTAAGTATGTGGGTGCATAGCAACCCACTCATGTCGCATGCAGGTGCGACTTTTATTTTGCCACCAGTTGTCACCACGCCCCCAATAGCCAAATCAGTCAGTTTCACTGGCTACATCACCTTCCTGTGAGTAAGACCGCTTGAAATGTGCTTGGATCCATACAAAAGCTGGATCCAAGTGGATCCAGTTTTTGAATTTTTGAAATTGTTGCTATGCTGTGACGTAGCACTTTCAAGCCCTATTCTGCCTGATTCAGAGGTCCTCGACCAAAAATTTAGTAGCTTACAGCCCAAACCTTCAGAATTCGAAAAATCTGCATGGTGGGTCAAAACTTTTGACCACCACTGTACATGTACATGACTTGATTGCGACTACTACTACTAGTACTGTAGTACATGCACGTAAATGTAAGCCTCGTCATAAGCTATAATTAGATCTCCCATGCTTGTAACCTTGTTGTCAGCACTTCTAGAACTAGCACTTCTACCACCACTTCCTTTTAGGTAGTCAATCACGTCGTTGATTCCGGACTGCTCCATACCTTACAGTAATATGCCTGATGAGTAATGTTGCATAATAGATATCTCACCTTCTAGAATACCTCGCTTAGTCACTACTAGTATGTTAATGTTACGCAATGCTCATTTCATCTACATGTATAGCAATGATGATCTAGGTTTACCTGCTCCACTATTCTAGAACTTGTAGAAGGATGATTTCGTAATCCTTGTCTTACCACCAACCTTAGTTCTCTACCTTCGCTATAAAAGCTGCTGCCTTTCTAGTTTCCTACGGGATTAGTTTCTTGCCGATTAAGACCAGCTCTCCGCCGCAGAATCCGCGCAGATCAGTTCCCTGTGGATTAGTTTCAGGCTAGATTACAGTGTATTACCTGAGAACTCTTTCTCTCTCTCTCTGAATAAGTGTGCAATTCTGTATGATAACCATTATCCATTACTGTACCCTCGTGCTCTGCCGACTGAGCGAAACCGGGACTTAACATTATTTATTTTTCTTATTTTCGCACTAAATTATTATTTTTTGGCTACCGTTCTGCTTTCGTTTCGCGTGGATATTTTTCTCAGTACGAGTACATGTACAGTCGTATAATAAAATACCTAAAATTAGAAAAATGTGAATAGCGTGAATGGATTGCGAATCGATTCGTGGGTCATGGCATGAAAATCGAACGACTTGAAAAGTTGAATGTATGCGAATGGATTCAAGAATTGATTCAAGTGCATAATCTGATAATCGAACGCAGCCACTGTGATCATGTAAAAATGTTGTTGATTTTCACAGAACGACGTACAATGTCATGTAGATCTACGTACACTGGAGCTACCGTGCATGCACCCGCGCCGCCTGGCGGGACCTGTCAGGACTAAGTAGCGTATAAAAAAGGAACGTTGCCTGCCGGCCCACGGCACGAGTATCATTCTGGCACCTCACACGACCGTTCAGGGGCGGTTTTGTACCTCAGGAAAGTGTGAAAGTGCAAGGCAAGTGGTGTCTTGCTAGCTAAGTGATTGGTTGTTAGCTAAAGCTTGGTTTTCGCTCCCAACGTTTATCCATTCTTGGAACCTCACATTGTTCTAATGCCGTGTAATGGTCCAGGTAGTACAAAGGTCGGTGGTCAGCAAAGGGATCCGCAAAATAGATTCCTGCTGAGTCTTTTTGCAGAGTGCTTCGTGGTGACCAAAGTCTGAAACGATTTACGTCCATTGTGAAAAGATGGACTGCCGATCGTGGAACGCTCTTTCCTTAGTTTCTGCCGTTCTATGGATAGTCTGCTTACCAAGCATATCCAACGCCACGAGTGAGTGTGATTTGGTCCTTTGTCTGTGTTTGCTGTTCGTGTTACGTTCGGTCCCGTAGAGTTTCTTATGGCTGGTCCACACTTGGCCGATTTTTCGGCTGACATGATATCGCACGAAACAGTCTGCGGCAGCTAAACCGACCAAGTGTCTCGGTATCAACACTGTTCAAGCTCGCCAAGCAGAAAAAAGAAAACTGAAAAGAAAATGAATGAAAAGTAAAGGTGACAGAAAAAACGTTGAATGGAAAGAAAATGAAGGGGATTCCTGCACACAGGAAGAAATATGGCGTGTATGTAGAGCTCAGTGCTGCTATTATTCGTGAGATGGAACTTCAATGCCAAGTATGTGTGTGTGCACTTGTATGTGTGTGTGTGTGTGTGTGTGTGTGTGTGTGTCGCTCCCGGGAGCGACCATAGTCTTGTTGCCGCCAGGTTTTAGGCTCGGCAGGGTCTTGTGGAAACCGCGGAAATCCACAAAGAGAGTACGATTTGCAGTGCATAATCTGCCCGCAGTGGTTTCGACAGATGCTGAGGGAAACCACCGGAGGAAGGTTGACGACTACCAGGAAAACATCAATGCCAAGATTGATGCAGTGGCGGACGCGGAAACGGTAGACGAGAAATGGAATGCGATGCGGGACGTGGTGACGGCGGCAGCTGCGGACACTCTCGGTCATCAGAGGAGACGGCAGCCTGATTGGTTTACGGAAAGCCAGGACGGGCTGCGGCCACTGCTGGACGCGCGCAATGCATGCTATCGAACATGGATCACTAGTGGCCGGAATCAGGAAGAGTATTCGCGCTACCGTGTTGCGCGCACGAGGGCTCGCGCTGCCACCCGAGCTGCGAAGAATGATTGGTTTGCTGCCATGGCACAACGTACTGAGAAGGGGCGCTTTGACTCGGCGCGCATTTGGGCCGGTATCAAAACCATGCAGACGGCTCGGCGAGGGCTTGTGGGTGTAACTGCAGTCGCTGTGCGGGACGAGAACGGAAATGTCTGTAATTCACCGGCGGATCAGGGCCGCACATGGCACCGTCACTTCTCCAAGGTTTACAATGTTCCAACCTCGTATGAACCTGCAACTGTTGCCACCATTGAGCAACAGGAAGTGTGTGAAGACCTCGCCGATCCACCTACTCTGGAAGAGCTTAGGCAAGCTGTGCGCCGACTACGGAACGGAAAAGCAGCAGGAGGCTCTGGAATCTTACCGGAACTGCTGAAGGCTGGTGGGGATGGCCTCATGATGGCACTACTAGACCTTGTCCAGACAGTGTGGAATGCAGAGCGGGTGCCCCAGGAGTGGGTGGACTGCCAGCTTGTCCCGATACCAAAAAAAGGAAATCTATCCAGCTGTGACAATTGGAGGGGCATCGCTCTTCTGGAGGTGGTAGGAAAGGCTGTTGCTGGCCTCGTCCAGACAAGATTGCAGCGGCTCGCGGAAGACATCCTACCAGACACGCAGTGTGGATTCCGCAAAGGCAGATCTTGTGCGGACATGATCTTCGCGGTGAGACAAATATCTGAGAAACTATATGAACATCGCTGCTCTGGTTTCATGGTTTTTGTTGATCTACGGAAGGCCTATGATTCCGTCACCCGTAAGTGCATGTGGGAAATTCTCCGGAAGGCGGGCGTACCTGACAAGCTGGTTACCATTATCAGCTCATTTCATACCTCTATGTCTGCAAACCTGTCGATCCCGGGCATCGAGGCCGAGCCTATTGAGGTGCAAAATGGCCTTCGACAAGGTTGTTGTATGGCCCCAGTATTGTTCAATATATTCATGTGGGCAGTATTCCAGCTGTGGCTGCGTGAGGTTGCGGACATACCTGAGATTGGACTTCCCGTCTCCTCTAACTCTGGACCGTCTCTCCTTTTCAAACGCCAGAAGACTGACACAATCAACATCCATCGTGACTGTCAATTCGCAGACGATTCGGCACTTATTGCTACAACTCACCATGGTGCCACACTTGCGCTCAGCCGGTTCATGGACGTCGCAACTCGCTTCGGCCTCACCATCAACCTATCAAAAACCAAAGTAATGGCGGTCGGCTTCGGCATTTCTCCGGAGGATCGTCGTCCATTGGTGGTTGGCGGGGAAATTGTCGAGAGTGTGCATGACTTTCGCTACCTAGGCTCCATCATCCATACTGGTGGCCGCACCGCAGTGGACACTCGGTCCCGAATAGCGTCAGCATCTAGGGCATTCGGAGCATTGCGTCGATCTGTCTTTGATGATGGCGATCTTTCACTGGCAACGAAGCGAATGGTGTATGATGCATGTGTGGCTTCTCTTCTCCTTTACGGAGCGGAGTGTTGGGTACCACTGAAAAGCGAGCTTGCGGCGCTGTCCGCCTTCCATCTTCGCTGCGTTTCCGTGATCTTAGCCCTCGGTAGAAGAGACACCTGGGACTTCCACATCAACAGGAAGACCATTCTGGAGGCCTGGGATCGTCGAGATCCAGTGGATATTACCACACGTGTTCTTCGCTGCCGTCTGGAGTGGCTAGGCCATCTAGCTAGGATGGACGGCGATAGAACTCCGCGCCAGCTCCTGTTTGGTGCGCTCCTTCCGCCGAGGCCGGCTTGCGGTCCTCGGAAACGGTGGCGAGACTCTGTCAGAGCTGACCTCTCCGCAGTGAATATCGACCACACGGAATGGTACGACCTCGCCCAGGAGCGTGGGAAATGGCGCAGTGCGTATTCCGCTCAACCAGTACCGCGATCGGCTCAGCGTGACACTTCTGTGCTCTGCGATGTTTGCCAGCGTACTTTCGCCCACCAGAAATACAAGAATCGCCACAAGTGCCTGGCCGAGAGGAGGAAGCCCATATCTGAGCAGTCCGGCAGCCGACTATGTAATGCGTGCGGGAGATGGTTCTTGAGTGCTGGCGGGCTAGCTTCGCATAAGTGTCTCTCCAACTCGGCTGCTGAAGTGGCGCCGGTCTCGGCTGTGGCATCGGCAGACTCGGTCCGGAAACAGCGGGTTGCCCTGCCCTGCTGCAGAGCGCATTGTCTCGGCTGCGGTCGCTGCTGCAAGTCATCCCGTGGTTTCGACCTGCATAGCTGTGCTAATTTCCTGTCCAGGAAGTAGAGCGGCGTTTCTGGGTCCAATGCTGAACTCAGTGCTGTTGACCCCTGCACAGGGGACACGTGACCATTTGATGGCAGTGTTACCAAGGACCAAGGTGTGTGTGTGTGTGTTTGTGTACTTGCCTGTATGTGTGAACGCATGATGCGTGTACGTTTGTGTGTGTGTGTGTGTGTGTGTGTGTGTTCGTGTCTGTCTGGTGCACACACAGCACATACTTGCCAACCCCTGGCGAACAGTTTCCTTGGCACTGATTACGTTTTTCCTTGATTTTGTACATTTTTCCTTGATCTGCAATTTTACATCATAATTGTGCAAAATATTGTATATGACATCATAGTGACGTCCCCATGACCACAAAACATTCGCAAATAGTACAACATATACGACAAAAAAGTACCTTTTCATGCGCTAACTCAAAAGTTCTCGCTCGGTAGACCTTCGTTTTGGGCACAGCACTACGAGCGAGCGTCCAAAACACTGAAAATCAACAAAAAAGAGGTTGACAGATATTTGGAAAATCCGGTAGATGTTATAACGTTTCCCTTATACCGGGACGAAAGCGATTTTTCCTTGATTTTCCCGGAAATACCGGTAGGGTTGGCAAGTATGCCAGCACACGTTGCTATGGCTCCTGCTGTGGCATTGCTATCATCGCCTCCGGCTATGGGCGTCAAATGGTCTGATTTTTTTTTTTTGCTGACCTGCCTTGACGAGTTGTCGCGGAGATCTAGAAAAAAATTCACCCGTATTCAGTCATTGATCTACGGTTCATTCATCGGGAAATGAAAACTCTATTCAGAAGATGCGAGAGAGCTTGACTGTTTACAACAGCCACTCTTGCCAGGTTTTGCAATGTAATCATCTCTCCATTCGTCTTCTTATCTGCTATGCTTTATTTGCAGCCCCGGCAGGACCTTCCACCACCACCGCTAGTAAGCTTCGGACATTCGTAATGCAAGACACGGGTTTTTGAACTCGCATTGTCGGGCTTTACAGATTGAAAAGAAGATGTCTGCATCACGGTTAAACAAAGAAACACCGTGCAACGTGCGAGGTGTATTCTGAATTTATCGTTTCAATGTTGGCATCTTTCTCCCTATTTTGAGTGATAACAATCCATTATGTGCGCACTTCACTTGTGTGTGCCGCAACCTAGAATTCCCTGTACATCTCTTTGCGCATCCGGCACGGCTGACTTGGCCAGCATGCCTAGCAGATAGTTGCGTGGTTGAAATCAGGGTCCCTCAACAGAAAGATGTGCTCACCCCTGTGCATGTGGTGTGTCCAGGGTTTGGCTGGCGGAGGTGATTTTTTTGTGATTTCTCAGAACTTTTGAGCATAGTACCCTCTTGCTAATCCCCCCCCCCCTTCCCCCACCCTCCCCACCCCATTCCCAACACACAGCACTAATCCCCGTCTCAGCTTAGGCACGAAACTGAAAGCAATCAGTTCGAATATATACACAACTTGCCTGCACAGTTGTGTTTAGTCTTTGATATACCTTGGTTGATAGCTACAGGTAGAGCCTGTTGCAAGAGCCATCTTCTACTTTATCCTTCAGGTCAGAAGGAGGCTTCATGTGTTGCATTTGTTATTTTTTTGCTGACGTGGATTCTATTCTATGCTTGTTGATCATGTCTATATTTCAGGCTGCGCAAGTCTGACTTGTTACAACGGAGCATATTGTTATATATTTTTTGGAACGCCCACCTGCAGCTGTACCTTGTTTTACTACGGTATCCAGTGCCAATACTATGCGTTTGCAAGTGAGTGGTATAGATTCTTAGTTGGAGGCAAGAAAATCCGCACATGAAGTCCAAAAGCCATTTTAGTTTCAACTAGGATTAAATTTCCTGTCCTTTTTACAGACACCTATGATAAGACCACCAAACCGGGTCAGGCTTTCACACCATGCCTGTAGCCAGAGGGACCTGCTCATAACTTAGGCCGGATAGAAGTGTGGTGGGTGAAGCGTTCCCTATTGACAGGCTCCAAGCGCGTCTCCATGACTACATAGGTAGTGACGTTTGTCGGGACGCTTGCTGTGATATATCTACCATATTACCTGAACAGAAACGGAGGGAGTGGTTGGTGTGGACAGGTTTTTTGTTGGTGTTGTACACACAGTACAGGGATCATTCGGTCCCTTAGAGTTTCTTGCGCTTTTTTTATGTTTGAAAAGTACGACCGTACTCTCCTGCCCCTGAAGAGCTTTGCCCGTGTTTGAGACGGTGCACAAATGTACATCGGTGCTGCTTCTGATCGCGCTGTCAAGCTCGCGCTTTGCTGCTTATGTGTTGTGTTGTTTAGGTGCAGCCACGCCAACACCATCCTCAACCACTGAGTACACGATCACGACCACTGGTAGTAAGTTTCCGCCATACGTGATGCGAACAGGTCTCACAGGTTTTTGAACTACTGCAGCCGGTTAGGGCTTCACTGATGGAAAAGAGGACATTCTTCATCAGGTTCACGCAATGAAATTACTTGCAATGTGAATTAAAAGAACTCTGAGCAATTAACGGCAAATAAAAACCCGGTTGTTTCATAGCTGTGTGCAAATTGTATCATTCAATTGCATGTGAGAGGCCTGCAGGAGAGTTGATGTTGAGTTGAAGTGACTTGCATTGCTGGCCCGCACGCTGGCGATGCTTTTATGATTCCTGGAGAGTCAATTTCGGCGTTCCAGGAAATTGCAGACCAACATGTGTCACGCACAGATAAGACGAAGTGACAGTATGACAAACCTCATTCTCGACATATGCAGTACCAGTGCTCACGCAACGCAGGCGCAGGACTACAGGGCGTTTATCCTGTCCGTAAGTCAGTGGTTTGAATACCACCGGCTTCTCGTCAAGAAATTTGGTCAGAAAAGGTTTGGGATAGCCATTTTCCAAGAGTATGGAGGAAAGTCGAAACGCGACAGATGTGGAGAGCATATTCGATGGACACGATAAACTAGGGCTTTGACCAAATTCCTTTTTGGCTTTGTTGGTGTGTAGATTCCCCACGGAATGTATAAGCCAGTAAAGGGAAGCCTTCGATAAGCTATCCTGTCCAAAGAACGAGTGTTAAAAATTTGATGCTAACATCCAGAAGGAGGCTTCAAGTGCTGCATTTCGCTATTTTTTGCTGACGTGGATTCTGTTCTGTGCTTATTAATCATGTCTATACTACAGGCTGCGCAACTCAGACTTGTTACCATGGAGCATGTTATCTATCGTATGGAACGCCCACCTGCGGCTGCAAATTATTTTACTACGGTTACCATTGTCAGTACTATGCGTTTGCAAGTGAGTTGTATGCAAGAGGTACACAAAAGGAAGTATAATAGGGCTGTTTTGTTGTTGCTCAGAGTTTCATGCCAAAAACCATCATCAGACAACATAATGAGAATAGAAAAAAGAAGTGAGTGGTACAGATTCTTACTTGGAGGAAAGAAAATCAGCACACGAAGTACAGAAACCATTTAGTTTTTTGACAAGGCCTTTTTGTGCCATTACTTTTCTAGTCGAACACAATGGTGATTAACATGGCAGCAAGCATCAATTTTCCTCGTCCTTTATAGACACCTATGACAAGACCGTCAAACGGGTCAGGCTTTCACACCATGCCTATGGCCAGCAGGACCTGCTTTTTGTTTTACGAGTACTTCCGTGAATATAACAAGTCTCTTTTATGGGCAAAATTTACACAATGGATTAAAATGTAATGAAACATACTTCGAAGTACACTGGAGAAGAAATCAAAAAAATCATGTGTAAAATAAGGATTTTCAAACCCCGAACAAAAAACTTCAAATCATTTTCTTACATTTAAAGATATAAAATAAATTATTGCTAACGAACTCAATCAATCAACTCAACTCAAAAGGAGAAAAACAATAACAAAACGAAAAAGATCAAAAAGGAGCTGCTCATAGGCAATACAAGTGTGGTGGGCGAAGCGTTTCCTATTGACAGGCTCCAAGCGAGGCTCCATGGCTACATCGGCAGTGACGTTTGTCAGGACGCTTCCTGTGATATATCCACCATATTACCTGAACAGAAACGGGGGAAGTGAAAGGGAGTGGCTGGTGTGGAAAGGGTGTTTTGTACACACCATACAGGGACCATTCGGTCCCTTAGAGTTTCGTTTGCTTTTTACGTTTCTGCCCCAGAAGAGTTTAGCCAGTGTTTGAGACGGTGCATAAGTGATTCTGCTCTGATCGCGCTGCCAAGCTTGCGCTTTCTAGGAGACCAGGGACACTCGTCCTCGCGAATCCACATCATTACACCACGTTCGTTTGCGCAGAAAGCATATTGTTCGTGATGCTAGGTGTGTGTGTGTGTGTGTGTGTGTGTGTGTGTGTGTGTGTGTGTGTGTGTGTGTGTGTGTTGGGATTCACTGGCCAGAAAAAGTCACTTCAAATAGCTGTATGGCGGTGACCAGGCTGAATAGTGACGGTCAATTCTTCAGCCTTGCAAGCTGTTGAATGGTGCAATCCCAGCACAAGTTGCTATGGCTTCTGCCGTAGCATTGCTATCATCGCCTCCGGCGATGGGCGTCAAAAAGGTCAAAAGGTGTGTGTGTATGTATGTGTGTGTAGTGTACGGTGTTAGATTATAGTGGAACTCAGTTACATGTAGTACGTACACCTGTTGTAGAAGTGCATGGCGAGTTACTGCCCAGGGTTGTGCTGCATGTGAGGGTACCGTATTTTCCCGTAAGTTAGTTCTCCCCAATGACTTAGTATCCCCCTATCAAAAATACTTTCAAGTACACTTTCCACTGCCGAGGTTATCACTCCGAAAGATAGTAAGTTTGTACCCGTCCTACATGTACAGACACCGTACAGTACATACATCATATGCACGGACACAAGAGTTGCGCAGGCTTCTCACTGCGAGTCATTTACCCCCGATAAAAAGGTACTCCCCGAAAGATAGTACCACCCCCGAAAGTTAGTACTCATGTGGCTGCTAAGTTCGAAAGTTAATACGTACTAACTTACGGGGAAATACGGTAGTATGGAGAGATAGTTTGTAAGTGCCATACTGTTTTTAATATATGTACAGTAAAATGGGTCAAGGTGACCACTCGGATGAGGCGACCACCTGTCCTAGAAGACCACAAAAACCAGGACCGAGGGATGCTATTTCCAGTCAAATGACCCTGGCTAAGGGGACCACCTGGTAACAGAGACCACCGTGTGAAGGTCCCTTGAGCGGTCGTCTTAGACAGGTTTCACTGTATATACGTGTATGTGTGTGTGTGTGTGTGTGTGTGTGTGTGTGTGTGTGTGTGTGTGTGTGTGTGTGTGTGTGTGTGTGTGTGTGTGTGTGTGTGTGTGTGTGTGTGTGTGTGTGTGTGTGTGTGTGTGTGTGTGTGTGTGTGTGTGTGTGTGTGTGTGTGTGTGTGTGTGTGTGTGTGTGTGGTTCTGAGTTGTTGAGTTGAGTGACGGTTGGGGATTTTTTTCCTCCGTCTTCTGCAAGTAGATTTCAGCCACGGGCTGGCTTCTGGCCAAGGCCAGAGCCAGCCCTGGTTAGATAGGTTGCGCTGAACAAGACGACGTACATATTGTCATCGCGGGCAAGGAAATAAATCAGTGTCGACACCATGGTCACTTCCGATGTGACCACTCGTACTGGACCTCATCCGCCTGAGCGCGGAGGCTCTGCAAACCCCCGCTTAGAGTTCGGCTCGCAACGTGCACCAGCAGCAAGGAGATTTGTGTTGTCCATGGGGACGTGGAACGTCAGAACTTTGGTGAACGTGGACGGCGATTTGAACACTGCCTCAAAAAATATCAAAAATTCAAAAAGACAACTCCGCGAGGAGAGAAAAATCGATCTTGTTTTCCGGCAACTGCAGCGCTACAGTATGGACGTCGTTGGACTTCAGGAGACCCTCTGGTTTGGAACTAATTCCTACCAAGTCGACGACTGTCTCGTCTTGGCGAGTGGCCGTCCGACTCCGTCTGATGGGGAGTCGGCGCGGCGTGGTGAAGGAGTTGCAGTTGTAATGCGCGGTCGTTGCAGGGACGCATTTGTTCGCGGTGGCTCGCAGTGGAAGGGGCACAGCTCGAGATTGATTTCTGCCAGGGTCAAGTTCGAGTGTGGACGGAACCGTTCGCCATTGTATGTTCACATCGCCGTCGGATATGCACCGACGTTCGCCAGACCGCGCGCTGAAAAAACTGCGTTTTATGACAGCTTGCAGACCTTCATTGACAGCGTTCCAAAGTCAGACCAGTATTGCATTCTTGGTGACTTCAATGCTAGAGTTGGAGTTGTCGAGGTGGATGATGAGTGGAGTGATGTGCGGGGGCAGCATGGTTTTTGTCGTATGAACTCAGCAGGAGAGGAGCTGCTCAATTCCTTGGCACGAAATGGAGCTGTTGTATGCAACACATTATGCAGGAAGAAGGAAATCCATAAACATACCTGGTTTCATCCACGCTACAAGCACCTGCACTGTATTGATTATTGCATCATACCACAAGCACATCGGTCGCAGTGTTTGGACTGCCAAGCAATACGTAATGCGGAATGCGACACTGACCATAAGTTTCTAGGCATGAAATATCCTCTAGGTGCCATGCCCAGTTCACATGTCTCCCGCAATGGTGTTGGTCGATCGAAACCCATTGCTGTGTCGCGCCTGCGTAGTGGTGCTCCGGAGGATATGGAGGTTGCGCGTGAGAGATTCTCCAAGGGCATGGATGCTGAGCTTGAGAAGGTTCGGACCCCGAATCCGTCCATCGAGGAGAGGTGGAGTACCCTCAGGACGACCACCATCAACGTTGCCAGCGACTGCCTGGGTCGGGAGAGGCGTCGACAGCCAGAATGGTTTACAGACAAGCGCACTGAGATCGAGTCGGTACTCCGTGATCTTGACAGTTGTTACTCAACCTGGATGTCAACACGGAGGGCCAGTGATCTGTATTTGTACAAGAAATCTCGTAGTGCGGCGTGGTGCACCATGCGGAGGCTGAAGCGAGACTGGCTGCTGAGACAGGCAAAGGATTGTGAATGGTTTGGCTTGACGGCGAAGAGCGGTTGGGAGTGTATCGGTAACATCAAGACCGCCTTGGGTGGTATGCGTCCCCGTGCAGCAACTGCTATCAGAAACAAGCAAGGAGAGATCTGTGACACGGCTGAGGCCACCGGTGGAAGGTGGCGTGAACATTTCGATGGCCTCCTGAATATTGCCAGTGCTTACGACTTGGAGGTAGTGGACTCGATCGAGCAGCGGCCGGTTATGAAGGAGCTTGGTGTCGTGCCTGGTGTGATGAGATTTGGCGTGCATTGCGAGGGATGAAGTGTGGCAAAGCATGCGGCGGATCCGAGATATCTGTGGAGATGCTGAGGTACGGTGGCCCTACCCTGATTGCGAAGTTGCATGAACTGAAACGGGTGGTGTGGGAGACTGGCAGCGTTCCACAGGATTGGTCTGATGCTATCCTCGTCCCCATCCCCAAGAAAGGTGACCTGGGGTCTTGCGACAACTGGCGTGGGATATCGTTACTGGATGTGGCTGGAAAGCTAGTTGCTCGCATGATTGCCAATCGTCTGCAGGTTTTCGGAGAAAGGTGCTTGCCTGACTCGCAGTGTGGTTTCCGCAGGGGCCGTGGTTGTTCGGATATGGTGTTTGCTGTGCAGCAGATCCTGGAAAGGTTGCACGAACATGCCACGAAAGGTTTCGCTGTATTCATTGGTCTGAAGAAACCGTACGACTCGGTTCCGCAGAGTGCTATGTGGAGAGTGTTGGCTAGACTTGGCGTCCCAGGGAATCTGATCACCATCATCAGTTCCTTCCATAGCGACATGACTGCCAGTATTCGTGTGGGTGGAGACCTGCTTTCACCGATTCAGGTTAAGAATGGCTTGCGGCAATGTTGCACTATGGCCCCAGTTTTGTTTAACCTATATATGTGTGCAGTGTTCGAGAGATGGCGTGGTGTGATTCCTGATGATGGTGAGCTGGGGATCCCACTCGTCCAGCTTCGGAGGGAGCGGCTTTTCAACACCAGATTGGCAGAGTATCGCAGAGTTCGGCTGACGGAGTGTCAGTTTGCGGATGATTCAGCCCTGCTCGCAGTTACGCATGCTGGTGCTGAGAGGGCTCTATCCTCGTTCAGGGATGTAGCTGGTGCGTTTGGCCTTAGTATGTCCAAGACCAAATTCATGGCGGCTGGGGCTGGTATTGTGGATGCCGACCAGACCCCTTTGGATGGTGGTGTTGACCACGTTGAGGCCTTTCGCTATCTCGGTTGTCGTGTTACAGCAGACGCCCGGAGCTCATTTTGATGTGTCTCGGCGAGTTGCTGCTGCATCGGGTGCGTTCTGTACACTGCGGGAGTCGGTTTTCGACAGTGATGACTTCAGCATCGCCATCAAGCGCATTGTGTATGGAGTGACTGTCCTGGTGGTCCTTCTTTATGGATCTGAGAGTTGGACCGTCAGGCAGCGTGATGTCCGTCGCCTGGAGTCCTTTCACCTGCAGTGCGTGCACTCCATCCTGAGGATAAATTGTGGCCGGCAGATCGAGGAGCACATCTCCTCTCTCCAGGTTCTCAGGATGTGGGGCGATATGGAGGAGATCGCGGATAAAGTCAGAGTCCGCCGACTTCGATGGCTTGGCCACGTGTCCCGCATGCAAGATCGGATCCCTCGCCAGCTGCTGTACGGCGCGTTACCCTCCAAACGTCCACCGCATGGACCCCGTAAGCGCTGGAAGGATTCCGCGAAGTGCGACTTGATGGCTGTTGGGGTTCCTCTAGAGCAGCTTGGTGACATCGTCCAAGATCGACAGGGATGGCGGGTCACCTGCCGTGATGCTGTCAACGCTATTGTCCAGTCCCGCATGGAGCCTGTGGCGAAGCCCCTCATCTGTGGCACTTGTGCGCGCAGTTTTCGTCGGCCGCAGGATATTGCGAGGCACAAGTGTAACGCTGTTAGCGCGGCCCGCGCGCGCTGAGCGTTCCCCGCCCGGTGGACAACACGTCTCCTGGTCTGCCCCGTATGGGGCCACATAGCCAGTCATGGCAGTGGAAGCAGGAAGGAAGGAAGGTGTGTGTGGAGAAGTGTGTGTGTGGGGAGGGGGGGGGGAGGGCTCATTTGTATGCGTGAACGCGCCTGCGTGTCTGCATATACCGTGAGACTTGTTTACGACGACCGCTCAAGAGACCTTCAAAATGTGGTCTCTGTTACCAGGTGGTCGCCCTACCCATGGTCAACTAACTGGAAGTGGCATCCCTTGGTCTTGGTTCCAGTGGTCTTCTTTAATAGTCGTCTTATCCGAGTGGTCGCCTTGACAGGTTTTACCGTACGCGTCTGTTTATGTACTCGTCTGGATGTGTGTACTGTAAAACCGGAAAGTCTAACGAGTCACAAATTCTAACGTTTTAACGACCACTGTTTATTCGCTGTTTGAAGAAACGTCATCCTAAACCCGGTGTGTAAAGATGCATACGCAGTCAACGTCGCTTATAACGACACTCAGTGGGGCATCAAAGAAGTGTCCTTATTCGCGAAGTGTCGTTATACCCGAAGTCTCATTTTTATAATATTATTGTATATTATCCTAGTATTACAGTTAGATGGGGCTTTGCTCTGGGCATGGAAATTCTGACGTTATTCATGAATTGTCGTTATATCCGCAGTCGTTATTAGCGAAGTTGACTGTACATCGATGCATGCTCTGGGAGGCCAGGTAGCCATCGTTAAACTTTCTGCACGTTATCATGCCAATATTACAAAAACCCATTCGGGACGGATACGAGAATAATAATAATTACAAAAACGTTAAAAAACGTTTTGGTCGTTAGACTTTCCCCTTTTACAGTATGTGTGTATGTGTGTATTTAGGTTTGTTGTCCAGGTTTCATTCACTGGGAAATGCAGATTCTGTGCAGGAGATGCCAGAGAGCTTGGCTACTCATAATAGCCATGCTTGCTAGGTTGTGCGATATGATTATGTCCCAATTCCTCTTCTTATGTGTTGTGTTGTAGTTGCGACCACGCCAACACCATCCTCAGCCCCTGAGAGTAAGTTTCAGCCATACGTGATGCGAACAGAATTCACAGGTTTGTGAACTAGCCTGTTTGGGCATCACTGATTGAAAAGAAGACATTCTTCATTAGGTCCACGCAACGAAATTCCCTGCAATGTGTACTAAAAAGACCTGGTTGTTTTATAGCTGTGTAAAACGCAATCCACACAGTTTAGCCAATTTAGTAACCAAACGTTTTCGTTCCCTTTTCATATTGGGTAAGTACAGGGAATAATGGAAAAAAATGTCAAAATACAGCAACTTATAGAGCTAAAGCAAAAGCATAGTTCGAGAACCTCACGCTATACGTGTGGAAAATAAAATTCGGCTGAACAGGTCAAAAACAGGGTGAAGGTATTATTATATATTATCCTAGTATTACAGTTAGATGGGGCTTTGCTCTGGGCATGGAAATTCTGACGTTATTCATGAATTGTCGTTATATCCGCAGTCGTTATTAGCGAAGTTGACTGTACATCGATGCATGCTCTGGGAGGCCAGGTAGCCATCGTTAATGATAGCTTGCATACCGTCCTACCGGTAGGACCTGTGGTCCTACCGGTAGGACCCAAGAAATCGAGCTGCAAAAGTGCTTTTGGTTGAGAATTTTTTTGAAACAATTTTTGAGATGAGGTCTTTGTCAGGCAAAGTAATGGCGCAAAATGCAAGGCTATGTCCAGTACATTGAGTATGCGCAATTTTATCGATTGTCAAAATGGCCGCACATAATGCTGTCGGTGCGCTAGCAACTCTGTCCAAAGTGAATTTTGACCATGGCACATCAATTGTGGTGAGGTCCTAATGTTTTTATTAGCTTGCCAAGGCCGTGGAATGCGTAATATCATACTCCGTTTCCATGGTTACCATGGGTTGTTACCATGGAATTTCGTAGTATGCCTTGTGCGATCACGTCTAAAATTTGTGGACTCCTTCATTAGCCCCTTAGCAACAGTTTAGGGTCAAGTTTTAGGTCAATGTTAGAACAGAGGCCATGCAACATGTCTGTGTATGATGGTCCTACCGGTATGTCCTACCGGTAGGACCGAGGTCTATGCAAGCTATCATTAAACTTTCTGCACGTTATCATGCCAATATTACAAAAACCCATTCGGGACGGATACGAGAATAATAATAATTACAAAAACGTTAAAAAACGTTTTGGTCGTTAGACTTTCCCCTTTTACAGTATGTGTGTATGTGTGTATTTAGGTTTGTTGTCCAGGTTTCATTCACTGGGAAATGCAGATTCTGTGCAGGAGATGCCAGAGAGCTTGGCTACTCATAATAGCCATGCTTGCTAGGTTGTGCGATATGATTATGTCCCAATTCCTCTTCTTATGTGTTGTGTTGTAGTTGCGACCACGCCAACACCATCCTCAGCCCCTGAGAGTAAGTTTCAGCCATACGTGATGCGAACAGAATTCACAGGTTTGTGAACTAGCCTGTTTGGGCATCACTGATTGAAAAGAAGACATTCTTCATTAGGTCCACGCAACGAAATTCCCTGCAATGTGTACTAAAAAGACCTGGTTGTTTTATAGCTGTGTAAAACGCAATCCACACAGTTTAGCCAGTTTAGTAACCAAACGTTTTCGTTCCCTTTTCATATTGGGTAAGTACAGGGAATAATGGAAAAAAATGTCAAAATACAGCAACTTATAGAGCTAAAGCAAAAGCATAGTTCGATAACCTCACGCTATACGTGTGGAAAATAAAATTCGGCTGAACAGGTCAAAAACAGGGTGAAGGTATTATTATATATTATCCTAGTATTACAGTTAGATGGGGCTTTGCTCTGGGCATGGAAATTCTGACGTTATTCATGAATTGTCGTTATATCCGCAGTCGTTATTAGCGAAGTTGACTGTACATCGATGCATGCTCTGGGAGGCCAGGTAGCCATCGTTAAACTTTCTGCACGTTATCATGCCAATATTACAAAAACCCATTCGGGACGGATACGAGAATAATAATAATTACAAAAACGTTAAAAAACGTTTTGGTCGTTAGACTTTCCCCTTTTACAGTATGTGTGTATGTGTGTATTTAGGTTTGTTGTCCAGGTTTCATTCACTGGGAAATGCAGATTCTGTGCAGGAGATGCCAGAGAGCTTGGCTACTCATAATAGCCATGCTTGCTAGGTTGTGCGATATGATTATGTCCCAATTCCTCTTCTTATGTGTTGTGTTGTAGTTGCGACCACGCCAACACCATCCTCAGCCCCTGAGAGTAAGTTTCAGCCATACGTGATGCGAACAGAATTCACAGGTTTGTGAACTAGCCTGTTTGGGCATCACTGATTGAAAAGAAGACATTCTTCATTAGGTCCACGCAACGAAATTCCCTGCAATGTGTACTAAAAAGACCTGGTTGTTTTATAGCTGTGTAAAACGCAATCCACACAGTTTAGCCAATTTAGTAACCAAACGTTTTCGTTCCCTTTTCATATTGGGTAAGTACAGGGAATAATGGAAAAAAATGTCAAAATACAGCAACTTATAGAGCTAAAGCAAAAGCATAGTTCGAGAACCTCACGCTATACGTGTGGAAAATAAAATTCGGCTGAACAGGTCAAAAACAGGGTGAAGGTGAAGAAATGACAAAAAAACTTATTGAATACATCAATGAGGAGAAGCATTTCCGACACTTTTACCATGATTAGCGGCAAACAAATGGGACAACCTACTGACATGCGGATCAGAATGTGTGGTAGCAATAGTTTGTACCGTATGGCACAGGTCAGCCTGGCTACTGCTGGGTTGTAGTACCAATGGCAGCTTCAGTGCTTGTTTCACTCCCTGTAAAAGACTCCCGAACATGTTTTATTTTTCCTCTTTGTACTTTTTCTTGCTCTCTTTTGCTGTCCACTCAGCCCCCGACTCCAGCCTGAGTGGAAGCACAATTGCCTTGATCTGCGTCTGCCTCATCGTTATCCTGTGTATCGTCATTGGCGTATCTTGCCTGATAGTCCGCTTTTCCAGAAAGCTGAGTCTGAATCGGGAATACCAGCTCCTTATGGCTTCGGACGAGGAGGAACAAGAAGACACAGTACCAGAACCAACAACGACAACACCACCAACAACAACAAGCCACACTGTTGCACCCCCGAGCGATCCAACCTTCCCCGGGCACACCACGTGTCTTGAGCGTGCTGCTGGCACAGTGCCCCCGCCAACACAAAACCCACATGACACTGCAGATGCAATGTCCCATCCAGATCACAACCCACATGACACTGCTGGCACAGTGCCCCATCCAGCACACAACCCATACGACACTGCCAGTACCATGTCCCATGCAGCTCACAACCCATACTGTGCCGCCTACACAGTGCCCCAGCCAGCACACAACCCACATCATGCGGCAGGTATGATTCCCCAGCCAGCATACAATCCACAAAACACAGTCAGTGCAATGTACCATCCAGCCCACAACCCACACGATACCATGTACACAATGCCCCATCCAGCAGCACATGACACACATCACACGGCAGGCACAACGGAGCAGAAAGGATACCTGCCTGGCCACATGCCCGCATACACATCTGGTGCTTCAATGCCTGGACTGGCCAGTATGGCTGGCTTCTCGGCCGACCAAGCAGCTGCCATTTCCGAAACAGCCCCGCCAGCTTATGAAGATTCCGATCCAATGCCCCATTGTGTCAAGCATTGACTTTTTTTCACAAGGCAATATTCGCTGCTTCCGATTTAAACAGGATGTGAAAGCTTACACCGGCAGGCAACAACTAGGCATCTCTCTCCCGATCTTGTTAGTGACAGTCAACGTGTTATAATACTTCGTTCCCCATCTTAGTTCCCTCCAATTGAGGATTATTCAAGGGGTTATTTTTTTGATTTGCCAATGCTCCTTCATGATAGATATACCCATTGCATGATCATCCCACTTTTTCAGGAATGTGTAGGTCGTGCATTGTTACTGTCAAGGCTGCACTACATATCGCCTTGCATCATCTACTTTCGTTAACCGGTGTTACGCCTTATCCTGGATATCACTGGAACGTCATGTCCATGGGAGAAAGAACTACTCACTGAATTTTGTATGTGCCAAGTAGCCTCGTTCGCTTGGCACTTCATTCCGCCTCTCTGATCCTGTTTTGCAATTTGAAACACTTTAAAAAAAGTATTTTAAATTTGCCTTTGATCCATTGATATTCTAGATCAATAGGCTACTCTCGCTAGTTGAGGGCAGTGGTGAGTTACTTCAAAGTCCGTTAAATGATTGACCAAAGAACATGTTGTCAAGTGAAGATCTTATGGATAGCTAGAACATCACTTGTGCAGCTGCTGTTCTTTTCTTCTCCTCTTTTCTTACTTCCTGCACTTACGCAGTACCCTGCTGCTTCTCTCCTTCTGCAGCCATGTTCCTACGGAGAAATTGCATTACCATTACCAGGGTCAGTGCACTCAATAGGGCTTGAAAGTGCTACGTCACAGCATAGCAACAATGTCAAAAATTCAAAAATTGGATCCACTTGGATCCAGTTTTTGTATGGATCCAAGCACATTTCAAGCCGTCTTACTCACAGCAAGGTGATGTTACCAGTGAAACTGACTGATTTGGCTACTGGGGGCGGGGTTACAACTGGTGCCGAAGTAAAAGTCTCCCCTGCATACGACATGCTTGGGTTGCTATGCACCCACATACTGAGGCAATAGCGAAGTCACACCTTAGTGGATCCAAAATAGAAATCTGATGTCAACTTAGTACTCCCTGGCCGTTTTTGACGTCATCACTTTCAAGCCCTATGCCAATGGCAGTCAGAATGCTATCCCTGCATGTACACTATCTGTAATAGTTTTACCTTGACACTTCTTGCTTGTCTTATGGTAACACCTTGTGTTCCTACTATTCTCACTCCTGCGGTTCTTGCCTTTCTTTTGCTTTATAACCTCTGGTTTGAACATCATTCGGGGAATTCTCCAATCAATCAAGTCTATACTGTTACACTGGTAGCTTGAGGACGGTTGAGATCATCGTTTGCCCTTTGACGTGCCTTGTGCTCCTGGCCGCTACTGCTCTGCTATACGCCGCTTTCCGTGAGATCCGCCGCGCTCGGGACAACGCGGCTGCTACAGTTGGATGACATCAATTACCTGCTACATCAAGTCCTCCGGATCTAGCCCCGTGTCGATCGCGTTCTCTCTCCCAAACAAGCCCGAGCGTCAAACGCGTTACCAGAGAACCGAATGTTTTCCATGGCAACCCTTCCGAGTTCAAAGAGTGGGTATTTACGGTCGAGTTAGCCTTGAAGTGCTCACCTCAAGGTGACCCGGAGAGCCAAGTTAACTTTGTGGCTAGCTACCTCGCTGGGAATGCGCGTCTTTGGCTAATTTCTTCCATGGAAGCAGGTGAGCAATTTTCGGATTGGCATTCTTTGAAAAGCGCCCTAGCGCGAGTGTATGGCCCGCACTATGACGGGGAAAGAGTGCGGTTGGATATGTTCTCTATCCAACAGCGTGGGTCAATTGAATCGTACCTAACGGAGTTTTCTCGGCTAAGTTTACAGGTGCCGGAACTTGACGAACTCTCCAGAGCCTTGCTATTTGTCAACGGCCTGCACGGTAACATGCGGACCTTGGTAGTGAAGGAACACCCCACTACACTGTCAGCCGCCGTTCAGTCAGCGCTAGCAGTCGCCTCAGACAGCCGATTTCAGCGCAGACCACCACTGGCGACCGCGCCGGGATTCGCACCACCATCAGGTAGCAGAAAGCTAACAAAACTAAGCCCCGAGGAACGTGAGACATTACGAGCCCAGGGGGGCTGCTTCGCATGTCGTCGACCAGGCCATATGGCCCAGAATTGCCCGCAGCATCGAGATCACCCAAACGGTGGACGTCAGTAAGGCCGATGCGATTACTGACGCAGCAAGAAAAGGCATCACCTGCGTGTAGTGTGTGCTCCGTCTCTACCCGTAACCGATTCAGTAGCCTCGCTGTGGAGGATGTTGACGATGATGCTGAATGCTCCGAAGCCAATTTCAAGCGAGATGTTACACCAACTATTGAGGCCCAGGTTACCAGCGTCAATGTGTAAACGGAACATGAGCTCCTGCGTGTAGAAGGCAAAATCAACGGTCGTCGCGCGCTTATGTTAATAGATTCCGGCTCGACCCATGATTTCATTGCCGAACAGTTTGCCAGGAGAGTTAACCTGCCAACCGAAATTGGCTCGGAAAACCTGAATGTCACGCTGGCTGATGGAGCATCAAGCTCGTTTCCCATGGAGACGACCCATGAATTGAAGGTTATCGTAGGCGACTTCAGCGATAACCAAACCTTCACGGTGTTCCCCCTTCATCGCTATGATGCTATATTGGGGAAACCTTGGTTAACGCGTAACAATCCAGACATAAACTTCCGGACGAATGAAGTCAGGTTGAACTCGAATGGTTTGCCTTGTGCGTCGCCCAGTCAAAGCGAACCGACCGCTCCTGTGGAGGCGATGTTCATATCTGGTCGTCAGGCTAGGCATGCTCTTAGGAGTGGAGACGAAGGTGTTCTGGCGTGGGTCAGCGTAGAAGACGGCATTGGCAAGGAACCTCCCGACAAATCCACTCAGAACGAACACCCAGATCTCAAGGCCATGTTCCGTGACTATGACGATCTTTTCCCGGATGATCTGCCAGCTAGACTCCCACCAGAGAGGTCTGTAGACCACGAAATCCGCCTGGAGGAAGGCTCATCACCCCCATCGCGACCTGCCTATCGCCTGCCCAGGCCAGAAATGGAGGAATTGAAGAAACAGCTCACAGAACTCTTGAAAAAGGGTTTCGTAGAACCAAGTAAGTCCCCCTTTGGTGCACCGGTGTTTTTTGTCAAGAAAGCTGATGGTTCGTTATGCATGGTCTGCGATTAGAGTGAGCTAAACAAGATAACTGTTAAGAACAAGGCGTGCTTGCCCAATGTGGATGATTTATTCGATACCGTACAGGGCGCTAGGTACTTCACGAAACTAGACCTCCGATCAGGGTATAATCAGATTCGCATTCAAGCTGAGGACGTGCCCAAAACCGCGATTAACACTCCCTTTGGGCATTACCAATTTAGGGTCATGGGATTTGGTCTCACCAATGCACCGGCAACATTTCAATCCATGATGAATACGATTCTTCAACCATATCTGAGGGAGTTCGTAGTCGTGTTCCTAGATGACATACTCATCTTAAGCAAAACGTGGTCGGAGCATATGCAGCATGTCCGGTCGGTATTGAGCGTGCTCCGGGACAACCAGTTATTTTGCAAACGGTCAAAATGTGAATTTGGCGTGGAGAGTGTGCGGTTCCTGGGACATTGCATCGATGGACTGCTCATCGCCCCTGACCCAGACAAGATTGCCGCAGTAAAGGTCTGGCCCGCTCCGACTTCCGTCACAGACGTGAGGCAATTTCTTGGATTTACGAATTATTTTAGGCGATTCATAGATCAATACTCATCGCTCTCTAAGAACTTAGAGGAGATAACGGGAAAACATGCACGATTCGAGTGGAACAGCTCTCGGCAACATGCCTTTGAATCGCTAAAGCATGCCTTGTTGAATGCGCCCCTATTGCGGCTGGCTGATGTGAACCGACCATTCAGAGTGGTAACAGATGCAAGCGATTTCGACTTGGGATGTGTTCTTCTCCAAGAACTAGAGGAAGATGCCTGGCATCCAGTGGCTTATGCTAGCCGAAAATTGTCTGCTGCTGAACAGAATTATACAGCTACAGAAAGAGAAACATTGGCCGTAGTGTTTGCGCTAAAGACCTGGCGCATCTACCTCTTTCAACACTTTGAGGTCATTACAGACAACATGGCGGTAGTTTATCTGAAAACAAAACCAAGCATTACAAAGAGAGAGGCGCGATGGGTTGAATTCCTAGCTGACTATGACTACACAGTCCATCACAGACCCGGCAGAGAGAACCCTGCAGATCCCCTTTCGCGTCGCCCAGATCTCCATGAGAGTAACCTCGTGGAGAATGCAGTACCACGTTTGAATGCTATTGAGTATGCTTTAGCAATGAATGATGACGTGTCCAATACAATATCAGATGCCTACCAGAGAGACAAAGAGCTAACTCCCATCATAGAAAGATTGAAGCATTCTCTCCGAGATAATTTGCATGATCGCTATTATTGGGACGAATCCACTGATCGCTTGTACCTCAAGGCATCCCCCAATAACCGGCTGTGCATACCACAGTGCGGTGTCCGGTTAAAGCTCATTCAAGAACACCATGAGTGTGCAACGGCTGGCCACCCGGGTCGTGATCGAACGTACTTCCGCCTAGCACGTTTTTTCTACTGGCCCCGAATGGGTCTCGATATGAAGAGATTTGTCAAAACCTGTGATCTCTGCCAGCGAACGATGGGAGGTCAGCCACGAACAGGGCTTCTCCAGTCACTTCCAATACCTAATAGTCCTTGGCAGGATATCTCAATGGATTTTATTGTTAGATTGCCCCTTACTTCTCGTGGCTTCGACGCAATTTACACCTTTGTGGACCGACTTACGAAATGCGTACATCTTGTTCCAACAAACTCGAAGATTGATGCTAAGGGCAGCGCTAAACTGTACATTCAAAACGTGTTTCGTCTGCACGGGCTGAGCTCGACCATTGTTTCCGATCGCGATCCACGATTCACTGCAGCTTTTTTCAAAGAAGTATTCTCTCAGCTAGGAACTAAATTGGCATTCAGCACTGCTAACCACCCTCAAACGGATGGTTTGACAGAGAGAGTTAACCGGCAAGTGGGAGAAGTTCTAAGAGCATTTGTGAACTTGAGACAGGACAATTGGGATTCGCTTCTACCACTCTGCGAGTTTGCAATAAATAGTTCACAACAGTCATCTGTAGCTAATACACCGTTCTATCTGAACTATGGGTTTGACCCTAAGTCCCCGCCCGAATTCATTCTTACGGGAGGGGAAAGGAGTGATTCGGTCGATTGGCTTCATGAGCAGGAAGCCGCACTAAGGATAGCTCGAGATGCAATGCTCGACGCCCAGGCAAGGCAAGCTATATACGCAGACCAGACGAGAACGCCCAGTGATTTGAAGGTTGGTGATAGCGTTCTTGTCTACAGAGACTTTCTACTGACCCCGGAAGCTCGTGGCCAGCCCTCTCGGAAGTTGCAACCCAAGTGGTTTGGTCC